CCACAGCTGATTGTTGTACTCCTGAGAATCGGCAAGGTAAGCCCAAACAAGGACACCGAAGTGTTCCCAAGGATGCATGGGAATAAGTAAACTAGTGGAAGAGCTTTCGGAGCAGAAAGTAGCGGTGAAGTGCGTTTTGTGCTTCATCTGCCGTGCTTGTTTCTATGACACACGAATCGGTTTCAAAGGAGAGGAAGGTTTGTATATGTATACAACTGATCATAACTGCTTATGAAGGTTGCTGCACATACTATTCTTCTTGCAGAGCAGAAAGCCATTTTTAGTGAAAAAGAATAATGGCGTTATTCTTGAAACAGCATTCAATTGTGGATAACTCCTGAACTACTGCACGTATTGTATTGTATTCACGTTTAACACAACCAGCGGTCAAATCTTTTCCTGAGCAGCATCTTTTGGTGCTAATTTACAAAGATTTCAGCCTCAGTAAACGTTTTCTATTTTGCTGAGATTTATTCAGGTTAAAATGTGGCGCCAGAACTCAAATTCAGCGCAAGAAACGTTTTGTTATATTTTTTGTCAATTTGTATTCTTCTAATAATGTACACCGCTTTAGTATATCTGTTTACAAACCCGTTTTATTTAATTCTGAAGTTCTAGAAATTATTTTTAACCTTTACATATTTCTTGTAATCCGCCGCTCTTGTTTCTTCCACGTGCGTACCAATAATTGTAGCGACTGAACGGGTCAAAGTAGTCTAAACAATTTAAAGTGATATTGTGGTATATTGGATCCTGTTCTAAAGAAAATCTGCACAACTACGCCTCTGCGCAACTTTCACAAAACAGGAAATCAAGGAGCTCAGTATCGCTCGAAGGAACCGGAAGCCTTTCAAGGTGTGCTCTTAGGACCCTATCAACTGTACATCAAACAATGCCAACGCATTCGTATTTGCCAGCGAGGAACATGTAATCATATGTTACCTACTCGCATGCAGGCGCATAGGAGTAATATAAAATTGATCTGATCCCTTAAGGGTGCAGCCTCTAGCCAGTCTGGAAATATACGTATTTATTTATTTATTTAATGCTGCTCCATATCAAAATGGGCTCTGCAACCGTTTTCTCGCTACACCCGTAGTATGTAATTCCTCCTCTTCTCGTGCCTGTTTTGAACGTTGAATGCCCAGCAGCCCATGCCTCCTGGTAGGACAGCAGGCAGCTGCTTCTTCACAGTTAATCCCATGCTCAGTATCGCTCTTTCCTGCTGGGTATTAGACTTGTCTGCTGTACTGTAGAAGTCCACCTAGGAGTGGAACACTTAGTATCATTTAGGGCTGCTGCCTAGCTTTTTGCACTATTTCCGGACCCTTTCAGAGCTTCTTTGCAACAGTATTCGCACTACACCTATGGTATATTGTCCCTTTTGTTCTTGACACAACTTTTCTGACACTCCGTCTCACACCAGCACCCAGCTATTTCTCTGGCATTTGATTACGGAACACGTTACCTCATTTTTCTCATGGGTCTCTAGCCCGGCGTAGCAACTCCACTAGCCCTCATACATGTTGGAACGATAAGCTCTACCACTGTCAACCGTTTGCTTAACCTACACTTTAATAGCATATTCCACTACCTAATATGCTCTACAGGTACACTCAACTCCTTCACCTGGTAGGACGCATGATCCTCTCGGTTTCCACACAGGACAACTGTTGCATACGCCAGGCCACTTCGGACAGTTGTATAACATATTCGGTCATACCATTGCTTTTAACCACCACTAGGTTACCAAAATTTTGTATTTATACTTCAACATAGCCCTGTTTAATTTCCACGGCAGTTTTTCGGTCCGATTGCTCTTTTCTCCCTTGTTCTAAAGGATGTCATTATCTGCACGAAACACATTTGCTGACAAACGCAACGCTCACCTGGACACGTAACCAACACAGAACAATGAATTCATCCACACTTCGCAATCCGGACGCATTTAAGCGATACAGAAAACTGATGGAAGCAATACAAGTCACCTGAGTCATCCGACTTCAACAGCTCCGAGCACTTGCGGTCGACTCCGAAACAGAATGGAGAAACATGACTACGATAAACCTCGAGAACAATCGGTCAATAGGAACCTTGTCAGTGTCCTATTACCGGTCGACAGTGTTCCAAGACTGGTGGGTTTTTGCCTGGCAAGCGTTCTTCCTACAAAGGACACAAATGTCCGTTTAACGACACTGCGAAGTAGCGGATGTGAACCGCCACTCAAACAGGTCACTGCCCTAACCACTAATTGGAAAGTTGACTGCTACTACATTTCACAAATGCTGTGCATATACTTGCTCTCATACGACTAAGCCCATTTATATGAGCAGTGACCTGCCACTATTCTTAAAATCTTTTTGCATCTTTTTCCTCAAGATTCACTCAACTGAGCAGCACTGTGCTTACAACCTCATTGGAACAGTTCCTCACCAACCTACTCCGCTTTAATGAGCTAATTCTTATCTCTACCACCTTCTGGTCTCAGGTCGAATTCTAACACCGTTAGCTAATGCCTCATGAGTTTCTAAACGGAACTCTGCGCTTCATCCTCATGTACATGAAAGTATTTAACCCATTAGGCCAGGCCTTCTGCATAGTTAAAAAACATTTTCAGCGCAATAGCTGTTACACAGTGTACACAAGTTGTCTCAAGTAAATAACTTATAGTAGGATTTCCCCAATGCTTGGTACAATGACTGTCCTTTTTGGTCTTCTCTCGGCCTGTTCCTCTCTTTCGCTTTTCTCTGAGGTCTTGTACATCTGAGAGATCCGAGATTGTACTGAGGAAATGCTGCCTTCTGGGATGGAACGAAATAACCAACAAGGACTTGCGTGGACCATGGCTGCACTTTCATGCTATCCATCTGCACCCAATAACTCAACCACCGAGGTCCAGTGAGGGTAGCTGGACAAGAATAATTCGCTCCCCATCAAATACACATAATCAGAGATGGTGAGATCCCATACGCTGGCAATTCTACTTAACTGCAAAATCATACTTTCTCCTCGACTGACCCCAAAGTATTTGTTGGAATCTGACTGTGCCATTTGTCTAGCCAACAGAGCAGTCACTCGACTGCGAATAACTGATGGAACTAATGCTTTATAACGAGCTATGCCAGTTGCACATGACCGAGCATAGCAATCGACGACAGTGTTCCAGGACGCGGTGGGTTTTCGCCTGGCAAACGTTCTCCTTATAAAAAGCCACAAAAGTCCGTTTATCAACACTGTGACGTGGCGGACGTGACTCGCCACTGAATAAATTCACAGCCCACTGTTACATACTGGAATATCGACTTGTCATTTTTCTACAACAGAGTTACTCTTTCTTTGCATACTGTCCCCACTCTAACTACTGTGCTATTTTTATTTACTCCAAGCACACTTTAAACCATTTTACTTACACACCACTGTTGACTTTGCTCCTCATGAGTGATTCGAAGTTTTCTGCAAAATGTCCAAATTTGGTCACAGCCAATTAAGTGTGTCGTAATATATCGGTTGCGCC